CCCCCCCCCTTCCATCATTGGCATATTCTATGGAATTTTATGAGTAGTCCCTACTTTGGATGTCATGGGATCCATCAAAAGGCAATAAAGTGCCATTAGTGTCCCTATGCTTTGTCCTACAAATTTATTTTTAGTTGAAAAAGTTCAGGTTATAGGCAACGGTTGTTGTCTCAAAAGCCTTTGATGAAAGAGTGCCAAAAAGGGTTAAAGTAGCTAAATTTGTAAGCAAAGAGAATAATTACTATAGGTGAACCAACGGTTGGATTCTACCAGACATAAAAGGAGTTTTCATCATTAAGAGGTAACTTTATGGTAAAAGTTTCACAATTATTCATAAGAGTTTAAATATATGCATAGTTAATTAACTTTTACAACTGTCAGGTTATCCAAAGAATATTTATAGGCAAATCTCTTTAAAATGTAGGATTTATAATTTTATATGTAAGCCATATCTGCTACAACAAGTAAAGATCAGAGGGAGATCTAGGCTTGTAGTACAAGGGTCATATGAACTTAATATTTTCGATGTGAAGCATAAAATTTACTAATATATGAACTCTAAATTTCAAAAATATAATGGGTTCGATTCGGGTGAATAGCCTGGGCTCATGTAGAAGGTCCGGGCAATAGCACACGAAAATTTGGGAATCGGGCGGAATTTCAGTTTTACGGCTTTAAAACGCCAAAAAACGAGCAACGGTCATGGCGGGGCGGTGACTATTGTTCCTTAGAACGTTTTTGATTGGCCAACAAAATGTTAAGTGATCCGGGTCCGATGGCCCGGACACATGCAAAAGCGTGGGCATAACACATGAAAAGCTGGGAGGCGGGTGAATTCTAGTTTATGGCCCTAAAACACCAAAAAAGGAGTAATGGTCATGGTAAGGCAGAGATTATTATCCCATAGGTCGTTTTTTATGGGTTGACAAAATTTAGGAGATCCAGGTCCGGTGGCCCGGGCCCATGCAGAAGGCGTGGACTATGAAAAGATGGGAATCGAGCGGTATTCTAGTGTTATGGCCCTAAAAAGCCAAAAAACGAGTAACAGTCATGGTGAAGTAGTAGTTATTGTTCCTTAGGTCGTTTTTGATGGGCCGGTAAAATTTTAGGTGATCCGGGCCTTGTAACCTGGACCCATGTAGAAAGCATGGGCTATAGCACACGAAAATTTGGGAATAGGGCGGAATTCCAATTTTGTGGCCCTAAAACGCCAAAAAATAAGTAACTGTCATGGTGAGACGGTGACTATTGTTACTTAGGTCATTTTTATGGGCCGAAAATATTTTAGGGGATCCTTGTCCGGTTGCCCCGGACCATGCAGAAGGCGTGGGCTATATAGCACACAAAAATCTGAAAACCGTACGAAATTCAAGTTTTATGACCCCAAAACACAAAAAATGAGTAAGGGTTATGGCAAGGCTGTGACTCTTGTTCCTTAGGTCATTTTTTATGGACCGACAAAATTTTAAACGATCCGAGTTCGATGGCCCGGGCCAATGCAGAAGGCTCGGGTGATGTAGCACACGAAAATCTGAGAAGTGACGCAATTCCAGTTTTATGACCTTAAAACGCCAAAAAATAAGTAACAGTTATGGTAAGGCGGCAACTATTTTCCTTAGGTCATCTTTGATGAGCTGGTAAAATTTTAGTCAATCCGGGCCTGGTGGCCCCTGCCCATGCAAAAGGCGTGGGCTATATCACACAAAAAATTAGAATTTGGGCGGAACTGCGGTTTTTTGGCCCTAAAACGTCAAAAATGAGTAACGACTATGACGAGGTTGTGACTATTGTTCATTAGTAAGTTCTTGATGGTACAACAAAATGTTAGGCGATCATGGTCCGGTGGCTAGGGCCCATGCAGAAGGGCTGAGCTATATCACACAAAAATCCAGAAATTGGGTGGAATTCCAGTTTTATGGCCCTCAAACGCCAAAAACGAGTATCAGTTATGGCGAGGCGGTGACTATTATTCCTTAGGTGATTTTGATGGGCCGACAAAAATTTTAGGCGATCCGGTACTGCTGGCTCGGGCCCATGCCGAAGGCGTGGGCTATAGCACACTAAAAATAAGGAATCGGGCGGAATTCCAGTTTTATGGTCTTAAAATACCAAAAAGCAAGTAACGGTCATGACAAGGCGGTGACTATTATTCCTTAGGATATTTTTTTTGGGCCGGCAAAAATTTAGGCTATTCGGGTCCAGTGACCTAGGCCCATGCAGAAGACATTGGTTAAAGCATACGAAAATCTAGCAGTCAGGCGGAATTCTAGTTTTATGGCTGTAAAACGCCAAAAAAATTAGTAACGGTCATGGTGAAGCGGTGGTTAGTGTTCCCTAGGACGTTATTTATGGGCCTGTAAAATTTTAGGCAATCCGGGTCCGGTGGCCTGGGCCCATGCAAAAGGCAGCACATGAAAATCTAGGAAGAGACGCAATTCCGGTTCTATGGCTCTAAAATGTCAAAGAACGCGTAATGGTCATTGCGAGGCGGTGACTATTATTTCTTTGGTTGTTTTTTATGTGCCAGCAAAATTATAGGCAATCTGGTGGCCCGAGACCATGTAGAAGGCGTGGGCTATAGCACCGAAAAATTTGGGAATCAGGCGAAATTCCAATTTTTATGGCCATAAACACCAAAAAACGAGTAACGATCATGGTGAGGCGGTGACTATTGTTACTAAGGTCGTTTTTTATGGGCCGACAAAATTTTAGGGGACCCTTGTCTGGTGGCCTGGGACCATGCAGACGGTGTGGGATATATTGCACACAAAAATTTAGGAACTGGGCAGAATTCCAGTTTTATAACCCTAAAACACCAAAAATGAGTAGTGGTATGGCGAGGTGGTGTCAATTGTTCCTTAAGTTTTTTTGATGTGCCGACAAAATTTAAGACGATCTGCGTTCAATGGCCTGAGCCCATGCAGAAGGTGCAGGCGATATAACACATGAAAATCTGGGAACTGGTGGAATTCCAGTTTTATGCACCTAAAATGCCAAAAAATGAGAAACGATTATGGCGAGGCGGTGACTATTTTTCCTTATGTCATCTTTGATGGGCCAGCAAAATTTTAGGTGATCCAAGTCCGGCAGCCCGGGCCCATGCAGAAGGCATGGGTTATAGCACACGAAAATCTAGAAATCGGGCAGAATTTTAGTTTTATGGCCCTAAAATGCCAAAAACGAGCAACATCATGGCGAGGTGGTTACTATCTTTACTTGGTACATTTTTTATTGTACGACAAAATGTTAGGCGATCTGGGTCCGGTGGCCCAGGCCCATGCAGAAGGCGTAGGCTATAACACATGAAAATCTGGAAATTGGGCGGGATTCTAGTTTTATTGCCCTCAAATGCAAAAAATGAGTATCGGTTACGGCGAGGCGGTGACTATTGTTCCTTAGGTCATTTTGATGAGCCGGCAAAATTTTAGGTGATCCGGGTTCCGTGGCTTGGGCTCATGCCGAAAGCGTGGGCTATAGCACACTAAAGACAAGGAATAGGGCGGAATTCCAATTTTATTGTTCTAAAATACCAAAAAATGAGTAACGGTCATGGCGAGGTGGTGACTATTGTTCATTAGGATATTTTTATGGGCTGATAAAATTTTAGGCGATCCGGATCTAGTGGCCCGGGCCCATGCAGAAGACTTGGGCTATAGCACACGAAAAAGTTTGCAATCGGGCGAAATTTCAGTTTTATGGCTCTAAAATGCCCAAAAAACGAGTAACGGTCATTGCGAGGCGGTGACTATTGTTCCTTAGGCCGTTTTTATGAATCGAAAAAATTATAGGAGGTCGGGTCCATTGGCCCAGGCCCATGCAGAAGACTTGGGTTATAGCACACGAAAAAGTTTGCAATCGGGCGAAATTTCAGTTTTATGGCTCTAAAATGCCCAAAAAACGAGTAACGGTCATTGCGAGGCGGTGACTATTGTTCCTTAGGCCGTTTTTATGAATCGAAAAAATTATAGGAGGTCGGGTCCATTGGCCCAGGCCCATGCAGAAGACTTGGGTTATAGCACACGAAAAAGTTTGCAATCGGGCGAAATTTCAGTTTTATGGCTCTAAAATGCCCAAAAAACGAGTAATAGTCATTGCGAGGCGGTGACTATTGTTCCTTATGCTGTTTTTATGAACCGAAAAAATTATAGGCGGTCGGGTCCATTGGCCCAGGTCTATGCACAATGTGTGGGCTATAGTACACGAAATCTGGGAATCGGGTAAAATTTCAATTTTATTGCCATAAAACGCCAAAAAATGAGTAACGGTCATGACGAGATGGTAGTTGTTACTTAGCACGTTTGTGACGGGCCGGCAAAATTTTAGGCTATCCGGGTCCGATGATCTTGAACCATGTAGAAGGCTTGTGCTTTAGCATATGAAAATCTATGAGTCAAGTGGAATTCCAGTTTAGGGCCCTAAAATGCCAAAAAAC